AGACAATAGACCTAATAGACCTGCTCGTGGGGATCGCTCGATAATTGCAATTTGTATACAATAGCCCCAACCTGTGTTGCATGCTGAAAAAATATTACAAAATGTACCCTTCAATATTGTAATTCAAATTGAAAAAATAGCATGCGATAAAACATATAATAAATAAAAATATGTCACAAAATACTACAAAATCTATATAAACATCATTATTGGTATATTTTTATGCAATTATTTTTAGATTTTATTTTTTTTGAAATTTGAAACAAAAATAAATTTGCCAAATTATTTTGAAATCGGTTCAGGTTTGGATATAGCTCCCATATATATTTTCGGTTGTGTGTGCCACATTTCCATGAAATTTGGAATGTGTTATGGAATTATTCTGACAAATTTTTCTGCTTAATTGTATAGAAATCGGTTAAGATTTGAATATAGCTCCCATATACATTTTCGACCGATTTCACGCTATGTATCTCTAATTTCAATGAAATTTGGAATGTATATTGGAATGTAAAACGAACATACATTTGTTAAATTATATTGAAATCGTTAAATTTTGTTAAATTATATTGAAATCGGTTCAGATTTGGATATGGCTCCCATATATATTTTCGACCGATTTCATTTATTTGAATCGCGATATGTATGTTTGATTCCAATGAAATTTGGAATGTGTGACGCAATTTTGATTAGGAAAGAAATTAGTCAAATAATATTGAAATTTGAGTTTTGCCTTGTTAAGGCGAAGATCATATGTTTTATGATTTAAGTGTTGGTTTTCTCTTTCGAGACGAGCTTAATGATCTGAAATTTGCAGTGAAAAGGAAAGCCAGATAGACACTATCACACACTCACCACAATGCGACGCGTTTCGCCGTTGGTTAAGCGGCTCATCAGGCATATTTGATGTGGATGATGGCTTACAAGGGCCGTTCTCTGGAAAGTAGTATATATTTCGAACTTATTGCAAATTAGCATATGCGAATTATACACTAGAAACTCTCCAGGTTCGACTCAAGTTCTATTGGCAGATCTTTTTTCACAGCAACGTTTTTTGTTTTGTTTGTTTCAGATTTAGATTTTATATATTTTTCATATATTTTATAATGAAATTCGGCATGAGTGACTAAATTTGGTACACAAAAAATTTGCCAAATTATATTGATATCGAAACAGATTTAGACATAGCTCTCATATATTTATTCGGCCGATTTCATATATTTGATGCACCAAACACGATGTGTGACTAAATTTGGTACACAAATAAATTTGCCAAATTATATTGAAATCGGTACAGATTTAGATATGGCTCCCATATATATTTTCGACCGAATTCGTTTATATGATGCACCAATGTATGTTCGATTCCAATGAAGTTTGCCATACGTGACGGAATTTTGATCAGAAAATAAATTTGTCAAATTATATTGAAATCGGTTCAGATTTGGATATAGATCCCATGCATATGTTCGGCCGATTTCATATATTTGATGCACAAAACACGATATGTATGTTCGATTTCAATGAAATTTGGAATACGAGACGGGATTCTGATCAGAAAATAAATTTGTCAAATTATATTGAGATCGGTTCAGATTTGGATATAGCTCCGATATATATTTCCGGCCGATTTCACATATTTGGTGCAGCAAACACGATACGTATGTCCGATTCTAATGAAATTCGGCATGAATGACTAAATTTGGTACAGAAATAAATTTGTCAAATTATATTGAAATCAGTTCAGAATTGGATATAGCTCCCATGTATATTTTCGGCCGATTTAACATAGTTGATGCACAAAACGCGATATGTATGTTCGATTTCAATGAAAGTGGGAATACGTGACGTGATTATATGTTGAAATCAGTTCAGATTTGGATATAGCTCCGATATATATTTTCGGCTGATTGTACATATTTGATGCACCCAATGCGATATGTTTGTCCAATTCCAATGAAATTCGGACAGAGAGACGTAAATCTGGTACCAAAAAAAAAAAAAAAAACAAAAAAAAATATTGGCATATTATATTGAAATCGGTTGAGGTTTGGGTATAGCTCCCATATAAATATTTCGGCCGATTTCATGTGTGTTATGCACCAAACCCTATATATATGACAGATTCCAATGAAATTCAGAACATGTGGAGGAATAAATTTTACAAATTAATTAGAAATCGGTTAAGATTGGATATAGATCCCATATATATATTCTAGGCCGATTTCAGATATTTGACGAAATTCAAATTCAATAAATTGGCGTTTGCTATGGAATTTATAAATCCGAAGACAAACCCTTCGTGAATGCGGACTAAATTTGGCATGTTCATGCTTTTCTTATGGTCAACTGTTCCTGTCATGCTCACCCTAAATATTATGCGATCATCTCCAAAAGCAATAGGCTTCTATGCTGATCCTAGCCCCACCTCCATTCTAAATTTCGTGATTGGGTTATAATTGCGACCTGAAGCGTGATTACAAATTAACATGGACAGACGGACAAACTCGTCCTTATCGACTCAGCTAGGCGAAATAGGAAGATCCATACATTCTTTCCAATTAAGGTTGTACCCTTATACGGGGGTTATGATCCATATCATGATCTGCAAAAGCGATTTAAGGTATCTTGAAGGCTTAGGAAGAATTTCTGAAAGAATATAAATCTTTTTCCTTCTAAATGTCCAATTCGCTCTACTATTTTTGCATACTTTACATTCGGTATTTCTCTGATTTCAGTCCCAATGATTTTTTTTCATTTTGAGCTCTCATTGGACAGATTATTGTCATATGAAAGAAGTAGGTCAACGTTTTGAAATGAGCCCCATAACGCCTTGCCGGTCATTTAAATGTGTTCGCATCTTCCTGCTGAAGTAGTTAGTTGAAAGCGAGATAGCAATTTTAGATATGAAAGATCGGCATTCAACATCGTATAGCGTACTCACATCATTTTTAATACTATTCATTCATGATTCAAAACAATAAAAATTTACACTTCATATAGTATGTCAAATAAATAAAAAAAGCCAAAAATATTTTATCCATTCACATTTTTATTGGCATATTTTCAATTGTTTTTTTTTGCCAAAATTACCATTCCGATATTTTATGAATTGTCAAAATCCGTTAAGCAGTTCCTGAGTTATATGCGTAGTAACTAACATAACTAATATTTATTTTGTATCCTCTTCTGAAATGATATTGTTCGTATAGTTCCACATACCCAATAAATACATAACATCTATAAACAACAGTATAGTCCGTTGTCGCTTTATACTACCCGAAAGGACTACACATAATATTAGAATTCAAGAATAAAAAATGGAAAAAAATTGCAAAATAAAATATTACGATTGTACATTTTGAAAAGTCAAAATGAAAATGTTTAAATACCAAATTTTTACGCATTTTTATACCCTACAACACTATGTGTTGGGGGTATTATAAGTTTGATTGGGCCTGAATTTATTGGAAATATTGGTTTCCCATATAGAAAAGTATATATGGATCTTCCTAGCTCGCCGAGCTGAGTCGATCTAGCAATGTATGTCCGTCCGTCCGTCTGTCCATGTTAATTTGTAATCACTCTACAGGTCGCAATTATGGCCCGATCCTAACGAAATTTTGCACGAAGGTGGGGTTAGGGTCAGAATAGAAGCCTATTTCTTTTGGAGATGATCGCCAAATGTTTAGGGGTTGAAATGGACCAAATACTGAAAAAATGTCGGATTTTGCAGTAGCTATACATGTAGCTAGAGTTTAGGGCGGGGAAGAAGCCTACCAATTTGGGTGGTCATCGGATAATATTTAGCGGGTAAAATATACCATATCTTTTGTGTTGAGAAAATTCAAAATTTTTCATTAAACCGCGAATATTTTAAATCCCGTCGAAATCACAAAGCCATGACAAGGTTACTTCTAACCTTTACATTGATGTTAACATCCAACAAATCGGATATATAGCAAAATATGAGCGATATATATGTCTATCAAAGAAGATATGCTTGAAAGATCTCTTATATTTCGAGAACGGCTGAACTGATTTCGACAGTTCTCATATTTTTTTATTTTCTCATATTTTTGGCATATTTTCATTTTGAATTAAACATTTGGTAATATTTCTACAGCTAACAAAACTAAGTAGTTAGGATATCAGGATATTTTATACAGATAGCATTTATGGCCCCATCCTTACGAAATTTTGCATGAGGATAAGATGAGGGTCAGAATAGAAGCCTACTCTTTTTGGAGATGATCGCCATATATTTATTTAATGTGTGAAGGAGTTTGCCAACTTTTGTAGACAAAATACGAAAATGTCCATTCCAGTGACTTTTTGGAGAATTCACAAATACAGGAAAGACGCACTTCTGGCTATTTCGTTAACGCTGATTTCTTTGAAGAATATAGTCAAATGTCTGTATCTCATGTAGATGCATTTCAGTCAAAAACCAATAATACATGTTAATCTTTTGCCACTCCTGAGAGATTATAGGTCTTTGGGAAATATTGGTTCCAGATCTAGGAAGACCATTTACGTGCAACATCTACCAATAAATTGGAAATGAGCAAATTAGTTTAAGTTGCTATTATTCGAAAATTAGAGAACGAAACCTGATGGTTTTCTTTTATTATTTGTCACAATATCTTGTGGAATTCTTTCGAGTATCTCGCCTATATAAACTGTATCGTTTATTATAGTGTTGTAGGGTATTCAACGGTCGACTCCGCTCGACTGTAGCCTTTGCTTACTTGTTTTTTTTATTCTATCCTTTTCTGCCAAAAGACAATTCCGAATTTGTCTGAATAGTTAAAACGTACTACAATCCTGCTTAAAAATTAAACCAAGAACACTTTATTGTTAAATTCCAGTCATTCCAAAGGGATCTTAATACGAAATTTTCAAAAAAAAAAAATATTGGAAAGAAGGGATTTTACCCCCTCTATATAAAGATAAAAATTGTATATATTGATAACAATTACACTATATTATCAGTTTTCTTATCTGCGATTACATTTTCCCAACAACCATTGACATTCGTTCGATCCGAACGTATAAGTTCCACGTTCATAGGCTCTGACCGTACGTCTCTCACCGTCGTGCTTTTCATCTGTTGAACACATAATGTAATCGCCCTGATAGAAAACCACACGATCAGCATCGATTAGCTCTACATTCCAAAGATGATTCATTGGTTCTGTTGATTGTGGTTCCCAGGCTGCAATCATCTTATCGCCAGCTCTCATATAGTAGATGACTTTGTATGTGATGCCCATAAGCTGAACTAATAGGTCACTTGTATCCGTTCGATTTAGGTCTTGTGGTATGGCCTGTATGTGTCCAGTATTGTCGATGCTCATTTTAGCATGCCACAGCCAAACATGACGACTCGAGGCATCTAAATTTCTCTGACCCATAGCAGTGTACATGTATTCGGAATATTTCGAATTCATAAGACAAAAGTACGGTTGGAACAGCAAATATTGCAAGTTTGAGGATAGCTTGTGTGTTGCAAAATCGATTTGCTGTTTCACATTGCCGCTCAAACTACCATAGAATGGGGAGTTTTTAAATTTATATAAATTCTTGCCAAACATCCGTTGGAGTTCCATATCAGGCACCTGCTCCCGTTTGAGGGCATTGTGGTAGAACTTCAATTGGAATTTTATCATTAATTCGAAAGATTTCTGATCATTGCCACGATATATGGCCCATAATAAATTCAACATTTGCGATGGTGGTTTACAGCCGTGTACCTCCAACATTGCCTCATGCACGATGTCATCGACCAGCTGATGTTCATAACGTTCCAACATGGAATCTATTAGCACTTGGACTTCCCGTTTGATGGTGTTCGTATCACCCGAACACAGGGTAGAGGCCAGTAATTGGGCATTATCGATCTTGAGACGTCGTTGCAAGCGATTCTTCAGCATCGTTAATATTTCTAGCTCACGTTGCACTTTTTCATATAATGCTGTAGTCTCCTCAATACTATTTCCATATTCTATTTCGATTTTATTTGCTTTACTCAGCAAGTCTCCTTCGAAGCTTTCCGTGCAGGATGAAATGTGGATCACACAGAATATGCCGATGATTATTTTTGTATATTCTGTCATGTTGAAAACAGAACTGAAACTGAATAGCTCAATGGAAATGCCGATGATTTTGAAGAGTATTTTGTGGGAATTTTCAAATGTAATCGCTAATCTATAATGAAAAATGTGACTTATCACTTATGGCAATCATACTTCTGCTTGCCCTGAATGCAATGACCTCCATAGCTGAATTCCCGTATAGATGTGTTGTGTTTGTGTATAAAAAATTGATAATGCCGCGGAATTTTCATATTGAACTTGCCGGAATACTAAGCAGTTGCAAAGCCATATATTATATGTTTGTTTGGATCAAAAGTTGTACTATGCAAAAAAAAAAAAAAAAAAAAAAAAACAGTAACGAGAGTCTTAACGTCGGGCGGGGCCGATTTATCATACCCCACACCACTTTGCTAATTTAGTAGAGATCCACATAACAATTAAAAGTTTTTATGGGAGAATTCAATCATACACGCTATGATTATAATTGTAATTTAAAATTCAAAGGACTAAATAAGCCGAAGCATTTGTATCTTTTAAATTCGTACTTGTATTGCCCATTTGGTGCACAATTAATTTGAAATCGGATAAAAATATATATGGGAGCTATATCCAAATCTGAACCGATATTCGCCAAATTTGACATACTAGCTTCTAGACTCAATTCGGTCGTAAGTGCCAAATTCCATCCCAAATATTGGACAAATATTAGACGTTTGGTGCACAATAAAAGGTAAATCGGACGAAGTTATATATGGGAGCTATATCCAAATCTGAACCGATCTCGAAAAAAATTAGCAAATGTATTTCTGAGCTCTATTTGATATATTTCCGCAAATATTGTTGTTGCAGAGTGCATATTACGGCGGCGGTGGACAAAAATAACAAATCGGATGAACAATATATATGGGAGCTTTAGCTATATCTTAACCGATTTCGATCAAATTTGGCATACCTATTTTCAGGCCTAATTTGGGTGTATATGCAAAATTCCATACAATTCGGGCTGATATTACACGTTTGGTGCACAATAAAAAGCAAATCGGACGAAGATATATATGGGAGCTATATCTAAATTTTAACCGATTATTTCCAATTTCAATAGGGTTTGTCCTTGGGCCAAACAAATGATTTGTGCAAAATTTCATCTGGATCGGGCAATAAATGTGAACTGTACTTTGTTTACAAAAATACATGGACAGACGGACGGACAGACGGACGGACGGACATGCATAAATCGACTCAGAATGTGATTCTATGCAGATCATCAAAAGGAACTATGGGTCTATCTCGTTTCCTTCTGCCTGTTACAAACAAATGCACAAAGACATATTACCCTGACCAACTTGTGGTGTAGGGTATAAAAACGGGGAAAATTCTGCAGACTATGAAAGTAGAGTTATGAAAGTAGCTACGTGTATCGGCCTTTTGAAAGTTTTCATCGCATCTCCAAAAACTCAATATTTCAGAAGTATGACGTCGAAGACAAAGGTATTTTTAATCGAATTTTACTATAAGTCACCAATGAAAAGAAATCTATAATCAATGTTCCGAAAAAAACTCGAAAATATTTCTAAATATTTATACCCCACAACATTATTATTATAAGTTTGATTGGTCCAAAAATTATGTAACATCGAAATATTGGTTTCCCACATAGAAAAGTATATATGGAACTTCCTATCTTGCCGAGCTGAGTCGATCTGATTTTGCAGTTCCTTTTCAATTATGCCCCAATCGAACCGGAAGTTAGCATGGGACTAGAGCTTAGGGCCTTCCAATTTGGATGGTCATCGGGTAATATTTAGTGGGTGATATAAACAATAACATTGTTTTAAATAAAATTCAAATTTTCCATCAAACTACGAATATTTTTAATCCCGGCGAAATCACAAATAGACGTAAAGGTCAATTCTGGCCGTTACGTAGATCCCGATAGTAAATAAATCGGATAAATATAACGAAATATGTGTATACAATGTGTGTATACAAAGGAAGGGATGTTAGCTAGAATACTTATATCTCAAGAATTGCTGGACCGATTTTGACAAATGCGATTTTTTCTATTTGACTTATAATATTAAAGTGTACATTTTTTGTAATATTTTTTCAACTTATAACACAGAGTGCAATTATCGTCCGATCCTCAAGAAAAATTTTATACGCAATACATTTAAGGGTTGAAATCGACCAACAACTAAAAATTTTCCTGATTTTGCAGCCGTTGTGAAGGTCACAAAAAAAAAAACCAAAGGACAGGAAATCTCGCATGAAGTTATAGTTTACGACAGCGGGTAGAATGGACCACTACTTTTGTGTGAAAAAATACCAAAATATCCATTCTACCGAAACGCTAAATTTCCATTCTACCGAAAAAAAAACAAAAGGCGAATTTCTGACTTTTTGATGCTGAAATTTAGTAGACAAGCAAATCTTATAAATTAGTCTTAATTTGCAGATACAGAGGGGACTCCTGCATTTGTAGATGATCGCAAAGTATTTAGAGGTTCAAATGAACAAAAGACAGAACATTTTTTTGAAGGAAGAAGGTAGCAATTTGGATAACCATTGGATTACATTTAGATGTAAAATAGGCCACGACAACTAACAGCACGACGGAGTGCGTAAATATGGGCCAAATGTCCCTGGTCAAAAGTTAAGAGCAATATCTGGACAGTGATCTATGACATAATTTCCAAAGCGAAATCTTCCAAAATGGATTTGGACGAAAGGGGGGCTTCTAACATATTGTAGTGTAGGAGGGTATCACATGATCGGAATTCAGTGGAATCCTCATTTAAATCAAAATGGTTTCAGATCTACAATAACTTTACCGTAAATTCTAAAAAAATAAGATTGTAAAGTTTTTTTTTTTAATAGGTATTACCAAATAACACTTTTACACATAATTGTACAATCTTCCTTCTAAATATACATATACATCTTCAAAAATCTATTTCCAATTTAATATTTGAATTTTATTTTCCAAAAGAGAGGATATAAATGCTACGAATTAAATATTTTTACAATTCGTGGTACAGAAATTGTGTGCCACCAAACTTCATATTCAAAAGTGGCAATGTAGTGATGAAATTGGTTCAAATTTAAATCCATGACATTATGTTTACGATAATGGTTTAATAGATATTACCGATAAGTAAATTCCAGTCTAAATTAAAATATCTCAATACTAAGCCGTGCAGGCCATGCAGAGAGAAGAACGAACCCTATGACATAACTGAATCGACATGATATGTATTCTTAATTTCGATTAAAATTTGCTTTCTATTTTTACTTCATCAGCCATATGGCAAATGGGGTTATTTATCATTTAATATGGCAAAAAAGTGTCTCATCGAAATAACGGTTTTAGACCAGATCTCTTTGGACAAAATCTGTTTCGGGACATTTGGAGTCGATATTGCTGATTTGGTACATAGTAATATTATTATCAAACTTACACCAAATTTGGAGATGAGAAATGTCGGACCACTCCCTTGGGTACCTCCCCTACAAACAGTAAAAATTTTAAAAGAAAATAATTAACCAGATAGAAAGGGAAGGATAATCTGATTTTGTACAAATTTTGCAAATCGCAATATTTGCATAAGCGCTAGGTCGGGTGTGAACTGGACAGTATCAGAACACTCCTTCTGGTATCTACCCCACAAACTGTTAAAATTTTCAATAAATTTGAGTCCCATTGTCTTACACACATTCTAATATTTCAACCAACACAAGATCTGGTATGAAGAACGGATGCAACGGACCACTCCTTTGGTACCTCCCTCACAACTGGTCAAAATTTTGAATAATCATGAAGCTCATAGAAGGCGAAATGCTTTTAAACTAAGTACAATTTGATCTTTGTACCAACACAAGTTGGAATACATCGGTTTACTCGTTCTGATATCTCTCCACAGAGAGTCAAAATTTTGAATAATTACAAATCATATAGCATGCAATTAAGTCAACGATTTTGTTTTCAAACTTTGTATATAACAAGTAAGCAAAGGCTACAGTCGAGCGGGGTCGACCGTTGAATACCCTACAACACTATAATAAACCATACAGTTTATAAAGGCGAGATACTCGAAAGAATTCCACAAGATATTGTGACAAATAATAAAAGAAAACCATCAGGTTTCGTTCTCTAATTTTCGAATAATAGCAACTTTAAATAATTTGCGTCTTTCCTGTATTTGTCACTGGAATGGTAATTTTCGTATTTTGTCTACAAAAGTTGGCAAACTATTTCACACATTGAATATTTTTGGATGGCCATCCAAAACTGGATGGCTTTTGCAATGCCCGGTAACCCCCATTCAAACGTGCGTGAGGATCGGGCAATAATCACGACATGCTGACAATTTTGCAGTTCTTTTGGTCCATTTCATCCCCTAAATATATGGCGATCATCTCCAAAACGAGTAGGCTTCTATTCTGACCCTCATCTGATCCCCATTCTAAATTTCGTTAGGATCGGGCCATAAATGCGATCTGTATATGATATCCTGATATCCTAACTACTTAGTTTTATTAGCTGTAGAAATATTACCAAATGTTTAATTCAAAATTAAAATATGCCAAAAATGTGACAAAATTGAAAAAAAAATATGAGAAAATTTTACAAAATCAATATTTTTATCTTTAGAGAGATATTTTATGCGATTTTTTAGACGTTGTTTTTTTCCTGCCAAGAGGCCATTCTGAATTAATGAGAACTGTCGAAATCAGTTCAGCCGTTCTCGACATATAAGACATCTTTCAAGCATATCTTCTTTGATAGACATATATATCGCATATATTTGCTATATATACGTTTTGTTGGATTTTAACAT